TGTCTGTAACCTTCAATTTAACAATCCTACTTTATGAATTCATCTCAGTGTTAAATATGAGCAAATATTTTGATCTCCAGTTTATAAAATTAAAATGAAATCCACCTTTACATTATGTTTGACATCAGATTTTAGTATTGTCTGGTGTATTGTGTGCAAATATACCATTAAAGTTTCTTAAAACCATCTCAAGTTTTATTTGTAGACATTAAAATAAACGGACAATATTGCAAACTATTATACTTCTAAGGAAATCAGGAATAAATATTAAGTGACAAACGTTTTTAATTTAGACTGGCTTGTTTTAAAATCTCGGTTTTTGTTTCTTATTGTAGGAAACTGCTGAAACAAAAGAGAATTCTGCATAAATTTGTATGTACTATTTTTTTTACTGGTCGTTTTGTGCTTAGTACATCACTGTGTATTGTAAGTAGTATTAATGACCGAAAGTGGAATTCACAAGGTAAAAATCGTGAGAATTCTTTAAATGTTGTTTGGAGGATTGTTTTTCATCACTACAATATAAGAGGTATACCGTAATTATAATATAATTTATTGTTGAATAGCACGACACCCAAATTAAACGTCTTAGTAACAATGATGCTGTACTTTTTAAATCTTGTAACGTAAGAGAATTCTTAACATTCTGAGGCGGATTTGTAAAATTAGCTTGCATGGTGTGCGTCATCAAACTAGAATATCCTAGCTAACATTGCGTCATTCGGCTCTACGATGCACTCTATAACGTACACAATGGATGCACATTGCACAATCATAAATCAAGTGCTCAGAGAATTATTACAGTAACTCTAACAAGTTTGATCAAGGTAGAAAGGCAATGAACATATGAGTAGACCAAGTTGAATGTCTTAAATATGTTTGTATTTAGTGTGACATTATTTTAGACGTCCGTGTCTGAGCCGGTAACTATAACAATGTGTAGGTGGTGGTGGTATGAATGAGTTGATATACCAGCGCCAAACCAAACCAGTACTGTATAGAGGTCGCGTCGTATGGAATGTACAGCGAGCGCACTTGTCACTTTCCAACTCGTCCCTACTTATGTCTGTTATTTACTTTTAATTTCGTGCATTGTTTGGATCAGAATCGTCGACTATGTAGTTCTCACTTTCAAGAGTGTTTTATCTTTGAGTTGAGATGACACCAAATTAAGACTCAAGGTCTGCGTGGATAAAAACACATAACTCGCATATATGTTAGTGAAAAGTTATGGAAAATTTGGCTGCGTCGTCAGGCAAAAAAAATATTTAATGGAATGGGTTTAAAAATACCTACTGCGTTGTGTCAATGTTACGGCTAAACCTCTGACATTTTACAATCGTTTAAACTGCGATTTCTAAACCCCGTTATATTGGGTATCTTTTGATGCAAGTGGTATTTTGTGAATGTTATTTGTTTGTTTTCAAGTTTTGTAAGTCCAATCTCTGTTGTCGACTCGACCTATTGTTAGAAGACACATTTAATAGGCCTTGTCAACTGGCAGAACATTGGATTTAACTGCCAACCTTCCGATTTGAAAGCTATCTTGAAACACTTGACTACAGTACAATTTCTAAGAGGACTACAGAAAATATTACAACACTATCTAAGTAGTAAGCATAAACACATTATAAAAACAGGAAACGTTAAGTTTTTCATATTTTACTGAATGAGAAAAAGTAATCTTACATATTTTGTATTTGTGACAAATCGGACATGTTTAAGAACGTAATAAGGATTTTGAGTGGAAGGTAGACCGGGATTTTAACATGCACTTTATTATCGTTGTAAATGGATCGTGTATTGGGGGGGGGGGGGGGTCCCGGTTGATATGCATGTAAAAGTTCAATTTATACAGTACCTAGGCTACATATTTCACCACTAGAACAGAGACGGAGAAACTCTTTTCGACACGAGCTCAAGTTCTATGTTTTTCACTTATACTGTATATTAGCGAATTGTATATAGGGAAGAAGCTATTAACGTAGGGAATCGGCACGGAAAGACCTGGGATCTGTTTTCTTTTTCAATTTGTTGTCCCCCGAGGCTATTTTGATTGAATTTCGAAAATGTATTTATTTCATCCTATGCTACAGAGATTTGATCAAAAATACATTTTCTCTTCTTCATAGCAGGGATCATTCCCTCGTGCCTTAGTATTTAATGTAATGTTCAAACACTCTTATTGTAACATTATTTCAATGGGGATTAAATAAGACTTGTTTATGGAAATACTGTACTTGAGTTAAAATCCAATAAGGCAAATTCAAATTAACTTAGTCTGCAGGTTTACTGCTGCAGGGGTATTTTTTTATTTATTAAGTTTTTGCTGCAGTAGGCTAAGGTGTCTGAAAGGAATCTGATTTCTTGGGTAAGTAACATTGTAATAACTGAAATGAGGGTGCATTTATCGATCGGTTGACGAGGCGTCGTCAGGTTGGTTCGATTAAGTTGCGTTAAAATAGAGTATGTTTGTTTTATTTGCAGGCTAAAAGGCTGCTCTAATATCAATATAGAAACTATTATATGTACAGAACAGGAAACTGAGATGAATACAGTTTAACACAAATCTATATATATATAATACGCTAAGCCGATTTTTGCAAACAGAACTCTTCCCTCATTTTTTTAACCGATTTTGATGATTAAAGTGTCAAAAAATTACCCTGATCTGTAATTTTGCGAGGTGTTTGTCATTTTTTGAAATCATTATTAGTTTGGGCAGGATCTTCCATCAAAGTTGGGTTTTCTTCTATAAGATTAACATGGGGGAATCTAAATATTTAATTGGAAACTTTGTCTGCACTAATTTGAGAGAACGGCTGGGCGTAGAAACTTGGTAAGAGGTGTCCACAGAAAGGTCTCGGTCTGTAGATGAGCCATAAAAAAAACTAAGTAAATTCCCTTGGGCTCTGCCCCGGAAGCCTTTAAAGTCCCCCTCCCAGATTTGTTTACATTATCGTCATATGGATAATTTGTCACTAATTTTTAACGAAACAGCGGTTAATATTTAAATTGTATTTTAAACAACACATACTGAGTTTGTTAAAAAGAAATATTTGCAATTTAATTTTCTGGTTGAAAAATTTATTTTGTTCTGCATCATCTGATGTTTTGCAATATAAAGTTCAATTACGAAATCATTGGAAATCTTAATATTACAGTAACTCTTCAAATGATTTCTTATTGAATTATTTTATGTATATTGTACGGGTCGGTGTCTGCCTTGTTTACCACTTTTGCCTATATTTTGTTATATTATTCAAACAGATCATCATATGTTCAAAAGATTATTTTCATACATGTTTTCAATTATTGGAAAAGATTTCGATTATGTATTTCGAATATGTACATTACAAAATAATACAAGTGCAGAAAGGCACGTTGCCCATATGAGCCGTTTCCATATTTTGTTAAATTAATAGTGGTTTACAGCAACTTGATTAATTTTTTAATAGTTTTTATGAAGACATATGTGCATGATTTAGAAAGTCATTAATCTGCAAAATTGCCTTTTATTGCAGACTTTTTAAATATGTCACTTCGATGTATTCATTCAGCTTAGTGAAAACACAATAGAGCCTTTGAATGTTATTAAACTAACGAAAAGGGTTGTACTTGTTTACTAGCGCTACTCAGCAACAAAAACCATTAAATTAACTGTGACAGAAATTTCTTAAAGTGCACCGGTTACTTACCCAGATAGTAACATAAACAAAATGCCCCAACTCGATACTACAAAAAGTTTAGGCCCGAGCCATTTTAATGCGCTTGGATTGTGACATTCATCAATTCGGCTTATATTTCTCTTAAACAACGGATTATTCTTCTGCAGCAGAAGTTCATTGTGCTCTTATCGTCTCTAATAACATCCAAACACAGAAACCTTGCCTAAAATAGTACCTATATCTTGACAGATGTTTTGCAGTAGCCTATTACGGACCGTGGCCCACTTGGTTGGCCTTAAGTGAGATTTATGGAAAATAACACTACACTTCGACTGTAAAACAAATTTCACAAAGAGTAATTACCAATTAAGCAGTTACTTAGTAGCCTATTACGGACCGTGGCCCACTTGGTTGGCCTTAAGTGAGATTTATGGAAAATAACACTACACTTCGACTGTAAAACAAATTTCACAAAGAGTAATTACCAATTAAGCAGTTACTGTCATGACAGAAAGGTTGTGTTCCTTTTGAACTAGATATCCTTATCCTTTTTAGGTACGTTGATAAACAACAATGCATGTAAACGTCACTATTTACGTAACAATTTACAGTATTTTCTTTTTGGAAATGCAACATTGCTTTGTCATTTGCATTATTTGTTGCCAATGAAGCCGCATGACCGTATAAACGAGGTCCCTCATTTCAAGAATAAAAGCTAGCTTCCAACACTTATATACAAGTACAAGTTTACACACTTACAAGTATATCCCACTTTCCACTACACCTAACATTCCGAAGATGTATTATATTGAACACTTTTATTTATGTAATTGATGAAATCGCAGAAGTGTGTACCACAAAAGATCCACAAATATGATTTGAACACTATTTAAAGATTCTTCCAAAAGCATTCTTTATATTTTATTCATCAAAAAGAAGATAAACCAGTTAACCAACAACTCCTATGACGGACGGTATAAGAAATATGTTATTCATTGAATGATCAACCATATTTTGTAACTAACACAATAGTCACTACTGTTTCTACACCTATTTATTACTCGTTAAACAATGCTAAATGCTCACATTTTTTTATAATTTCACTCTTTTTGTCGCAGTTAAAATAATTGTCGTAAGCCTTTAAAGCAACCGTCGATTTCGACTGGTTTCACCTAGTTTTTAAATAATTAAAAAAACATTGATCCTTAATTGGGAAAATTTACATCGGTTAAGAGAATGTTTTAAGCAAACAGTGTATCGCTTTTCTGGGTGAATGGTGCTGTAAATGGACGCACGCGTGTTGCGATGTGGTGGTGTCGTGGTGTCGTGGTGGCGGGGCGTGGTGAGCGGCTGGTGAGTAGCCAGTAGCCACAGCACAGCAGCCCAGCCATCAGTTCTGCAGTACATCCTCCACAACAGCGACATCATGGTGTACGAGTCCGACTTCTACACGACCCGCCGTCCCTACAGTCGGCCGACCATCACCTCGTACTCCGTCACGGTGAGTCATACTGTCGCATGGTCAGTGAAAAGTCGTTTTGATAAGTTCACCGTCTTTCAGTGTTAAGCTGAGAGAACTTTAAATTGTTAAATAACGATGTTAGTAAGGGACAATAAACAGTGCTGAGCTAGAATAGCTGAAATAGAATTAACGAAAGACGGAATGAACCTAGAGCTAGATAAATTTAACAAAGGTACTGAAGTTGGAAAGGTACTATTGTACACAGTTAATTGTGTTTTTTGCAAGGTTACCCACCAAAGAGCATAGACAATGGTCTATAGTCTGGGCCAAGATATAAAATAACTGTTCAGCTGTAGATTACATTAAACGATTACTAAAACTTTGGAAGTGCTAGGATCTTATAGTAAGTCTCAAAAATAACTATTGAAACACCAAACCAATTGATAGTTATTATAGTTATGTCGTAAATGTTTAAATAAGGTTTCAACTTTTACAAAACCTAACGAATAACATTTTTCAAATATAGAGTTCATTTGATTTCTTCTCAATACTGCTACTGTCAAAAAACTGTAAAATTTGCCATACTACAATAACAATTAAACCTTTCACACATGAAACACAATTTTATTTTTATGCTCAACAGAAGATTAGTTTTATCAATATATTGAACTCGTATATTCTCCAGCAGTCGAGTGTCCAAACACATTCTGTACAATTTGTAGACATTATTAAACAACACCCGATAAGCAAGTGTCACAAATTTAATAACAAACAGGAACAGCAACTGTCATCTTGACGGTAGTAGAAACTAAAATACTTTGATTGAGTGTCAAAATATATTTATGTTAGTGTATGATGTCCAACAATAATTACAACGTCATACATTTTCACGTTACCCTAGTTTAGCTTGTAAAAACTATCAAATATAACTTACATTTAAAATTAAGAAAATCACATTACAGTAATATGCGATTCTTATACATTTAAAACTACTGTACTTTATAGCAGTTTTGTTACCTAATTGTTTTTTTTTTTTTAAGTACATTAATTTAATGGGTTTGCAGAATCACAGTCTTAACGGGTCACTTTCGTCTAAAAAATATGAGTTGTTTTGTTAAAAGAGCAAGGCTATTAATTTTGATATAAAGTTTCAAACAGTTACCTTTTAGTAAATTATCAAGCGATACCTAGCAGTACCTAACGCTTTCGCTTCTTAGTTCGTTTTATGACAGATGTTGTTTGGGAGTTCCCTCACTGTGAAGCATGGTAAAACATGTTATTCATTCAAAAACGTAGACTTATGATTATTAGTGAAACAAATTCAGTTTTATTGTGATTAGAGTATACTTTCCAGAGTCTTTTAAACTTACACAACTTGACGACTCGCCTTTTTTTCCGACACCAAATCTGTCACCTGCCAATTTAACTGTGTAGATAGAACGTGTGTTTATTAGAGGTTCTAACTGGAAGAAGTGGAATACATATAGCGTGATTGATTACCTATGCAATTTTAATAACGACAAAGCTTTTAAAAGATGTATTTACATTACTTGGTCATGTTTACCCAATCATTTATTCAATTCAAGTGAAAACTAAAAAAACACACCTTCCATTAGAAGAAATATAGGTTTACTCTTTGAACTTGGTCTTGTACCAAACAATAGGTACATTTTTACAGACCATTACACAAATATTTTAATTGTTTTCACAATCTTGATAGTACCTCAGAATGTTTAATGAAATGAATTATTAAAAAATTATAATTTATTGAATATAGATCTATTGTTATTTACCTATCAAACATTTTAAATTTGATTAGATTTTATTCCCAAATCAGCAACATATTTTCAGTATTTTTTATCGCAAGTTTACAAACATATTTTCAGTAAGAAACCCCGCGATTTATGTAAAATGTGTGCAACATGCCTACAAAATATTTTGAGGGATACATTTTGTGTCAAGAGGTAGCAATAAAGTACACAAATGCGTTGAAAAGCCTCATGCATCGATGGTAAGTATGCATGGTTTCTTGAATATTCTAAATGTTGTTAAGATGAAACTTTAAACTTATTTTGAGCTATTTAATGTTGAATGCCTTTGGATAGGTATCAAGCAAGTACCATCCTTCAGAAATTTTAATTTAGTCATAAAGCTATTAGAATAAGGACTTCATGATGTTTCCTTTATCGTTGCCTGCTATTTTACTATACTATACTTGTAGTTCTTAGGTCAATAGTTTAGTTCGAAGACATTTCTGTTATTATGTGTAATATTATAGTGAAAGTACTAAATTTGCATTTCAATTGTTAGTTAAACTAGTGGTTGAGATATATACTACCACTGAATATATTCATAGAAAGTAGGTATCCAAAGTTCTATGATACTTAATCATAAATAATATATCCTTAGAGTTAAATATCTAAAAGAAGATTTAAAAAATTAGGTATGTTTGATTTATACAATAGTTTATACAACATTCAGATTACCTATGTGCTCATTATATTTTTGACGTGTTAAACTATACAAGACAATAAATTAACCTCTCTCTCATCTAATTACCTGTACATTTCTTATCATATTAATTTCTAACCAACATGTGAGTTCAAAGTTAAGCACTTGTGAATTATTCACTGTTATAGTGAATATAAATACTATAAAATATTAGTAATTTTGAAAATAATGGGTGAGTACTTCGACTATCCGCAGTGCTATCCTGATAATTAGACCAATTCGTATGTACCAAGGAGAAAAAGTGGTTCGGATTCCACTATAAACTGTAGGTCCCTTAGTCGCCATTAGCTGTATGGGCTATTAATTAACAGCTGTGTCTAAGGAATATGTCGGCCTTAGTCACTAACAAGACTACAAGATCGCGCCACTCATCATACACTCATCTCCATTCATACTTGGCTTAAAATACCTACTTTGTATGGTCGCCATTTCAAGAAAAGTAAAGTAAAGTAAAGTAAGTAAAGTAAAGTAAACAATAGATGCTTTGGCTCCATACCAACAAAGTGTTTAAGCAACTGAGATATTCTTAAACATGATATACATCTTACATATTGAAGCTCTTTGGCTTCTCATTGTATCACTTCTATTTTTAGTTCAAACAGATTAAGTACATCTTTCATTAAGGGGGAAGTTCTTGCCACGCCACGGACCTTAAATGTTGACAGATTGAATAAATCAAAGCCATAGAATTGGCAGTTATACCTGTGGACGACTGTTTATCTTGCCAATCTTTACCAAAGTCAATTCTTTCTGAAACTACCATGCGCTATACAAACACATGAATTGTAACCGAATTTGGTATACAGTGAGTACTTAGTTAAACAATATTTTTATTGGAGAAATTTTTGGTTTGTATTCGTTCAAGACCAAAATATGGATTTTATGTTTTAACCTAATGTAGATAAAATAGTTTGAATCACAACGATAAAAACAACTTATCACTATTATCCATTGTATCATTAAAGTGATACAGTCAAATTTGTGGTCATCGCCCCGCAGGCCTATTATCTAAAGGCTCCCCCCGCAGGCCAATTCTCTAAGGGCTCCACCCGCAGGCCAATTCTCTAAGAGCTCCGCCCGCAGGCTAATTCTCTAAGGCCTCCCCCGGAGGCCAATTCTCTAAGGGCTCCCCTGCCAAAGAAAATAGATTTACTGCACCAATTGGTAAAATAAGAATTTTGTTCCTGAACTAAATAATACATGTGTAAAACTATTCATACCCTTAAGCAGATCTAAACTATTTTTATTGCGTACTCCTACTCCCCCCTGTTGTGAAGCATGGATATCGCAGCTCATCATTGTCTTTCTATCTTCACATTTACAATATAATTAAAATAATTTATTGGTGTTTTGGATGGTCTTTCATAATTTCCAACAGTAAATAGGCTACATATACAAATTTGCTATCAAATGAGATCCCTCCCTCCTTAGATGCTTCTTTTCTGGAATAAAACATCTCCTCAGGATGCGGTCTTATTAGTATTCGAAGTTTCTATGTTAATAAATATGATTACAAAGAAAATAAACTTAATACGAGAGGAAAAACCAAAGAGGACAAAAAAGAGAAAGAAAAATAACTTTGATTGAGGGGAAAACATTGATAAAAATTACACTGATTAAAAATAACATATTACAAAATATGTTACAAAAATAACATATTAAAAATATGTTACAAAAATAACATATTAAAAATATGTTACAAAAATAACAATTTAGTGATCCACGATAAAAAAATATAAGAATTTCTTGGCTTTGCTCAATTTTTTTAAACAACTTCCAATAAAAGCTATACCTACCTATAAAATGCAAAGCTCTCACTGGCTGCCTGACTCACTCATCACTAATTCTCCTTCTTTCAATTTACAGTACCTAGACAACTGAAATTTGGTACACCTATTCTTTAGGCATTAAATAGGAAAACCAAGTAGTTTTTATTCTGATCTGACTTTCGGGCTCCGCTCCATTCGCTCTGGAGTTTCCCATGTTAACTTTATAATTTTTCAATTTTCATATTTATTCATATTCATATTCATAAAATGAATTAGTGGATCCTAACTGCTGTTTCAATCAAACAAGTTGGTTCTATGATGTTCAATAGCATTATAAAGTTACAAGGTTTACCAACAAGGGGCAACACTATTAACTTTTTGTTTGAATTTATGGTTATTGAACAGCTCATTTGAAAAAAAAAAAAACAGCAACAAAAAACTGTGATACACATTGAGAACTGTAATAGCTATTTACCTTACAAGTGTAGTAAGAGCGTTTTTACATCACGCAGGTGAATGTTGTGCAACGAGCGGAAGCGAGTTGCAAAATTTACCGAAGTGATGTAAACACGCTCTTGCGTAACGTGTAACGTACAAGATTTTACCTGACCCGACAATATACAGGAGGTTACGAACAATATTTTTCATTATCCATTTCACTCATCTTCTAACAGTAACGTTCATTTACAAACAAAAGCTAGGTTAGGAAAATTCTTCAAAACATAACAATAAAATTCAAGCGCACAGCTGATTTCTAGC